AGTACCTCGACAGAATCCCAAACTAACTGCCCGTTAGGCTTCTAACTCCCGACCTAACTACAATCTATTTACGGCTGGGCTAAACACCGTATTAATTTTACCTAACGATTATAACGTAAAAGTGATATACGCTCAATGGCCACCTTGCGTTGAGGACTGGATCAAGTCCACCTTCCTCTCATGAAACATGTGTCCTTTGAAACTAAACAAGTTGTCTATGAAAACTAAAAGGCGTTTTAACAAGTTTAATTGGAACTAACAAAAGTACGTCACCAACGTATTCAAACAACTTGTAAACTTGTATTAAACTACTTAAGGTAAGAAAAAAATTCAGTGTGTATCCTTGTTAAAGACGAAAGAGGATTTTTAAGTTACATACACCTGAAATTGACTTAATTGGCACTCCTCCTCTGTAAACGCATAAAAACAAAAGAAAATGTGTTTCAAAAGGAACGTTTTTATTTTTGGAAATATGTAGTCATTTTATTATTTTTTAAAGTAGTAGTTTTAAATAACGAAATATTTTAAAAATATAAATAACGCCAAAATGAATTTTGAGATGTTTATGACCAACTTTCCTAAGTATGTTCACTTTATGCTTAATGCTCTGTCACTCTCTCCCACTCTTTCCCTCTCTAAGTCTCACTCATTCCCCCTTCACTCTACCTTTATTTATCGATGTATCTGTTAACTCCTTTTCCCACTCTTTTTCTCAATCACATACGCTGCCACTCTCTCTCTCTCTCTCTCTCTCTCTCTCTCTCTCTCTCTCTCTCTCTCTCTCCCTCTCATTCTCCAGCCTTTGATCTTTTGATTAAATCAAACTATCAATCCCTCCTCTACCTTTCATTCTTACTCACCCTCTCGCCTTCACACTTTCCTTCTCTCCCTCTCTCTTTATTTATCTCTCTCTCTCTATCTATCTATCTATCTATCTATCTATCTATCTATCTATCTATCTATCTATCTATCTCTATCTATCTCTATCTATCTATCAATATCTCATTCTCTATATTTCCAAATATTTCCCGCTCTTCTCTTTCTCTCTCTTTATCACACTCTCTCTATCTATCCATATCTCAGTTTCTATATTTCCAAATATTTTCCGCTCTTTCTCTCTTTATTTCTCACTCTCTCCCTCCCTCGCTCCCTCTTTCAGTGTTTCTTTAAATTAAATATTTGTCTATTTCAAATAGTATGTCAGTGGGGTGTTAACTATACTTTATATTTATTAGTTCTTTATTTATTATTATATTTAGTATTAGTTCTTAAACATAAATTTAAATGAGATTTAAAAGGATTTAAAAACAAAATGAAAATAGTTGAGAACGTGATCGAATTGAATGGGATATCCTGGATGAGTAGGCAAAAAGAAAAATCAGATTACAAATGGAACAAAAACAATTAATATGTGAGGATTCGATGGCATTAAGGATTGTTGCCTATTTAAGAAAGTTTGCGGCGTTGACAATAGATTTGATACAGGAGACCCCCGGATGCAAATTGACGCCGAAGAGAACAGGAAGTTTTAAATCAGTAAAAACTTTGTCTAGACCAACTGGTCCCCCGAATCGCGGCTTAACTAAAGCAGATATTAAACAGAAAAAACATCTTTGTCGGCCTCAACAAACCCTCTCCCGTCAAGTTTTAAGCTCCGGCGCTTTCCGCCTGGAAACGGAGGCCGACTTATCGTACCTGCCTCTGGATCTCGGCCTCCACAAATGAGCAGGATAATAACTTTTAACTTGAGACCGAAACAAAGAAGCAAGGGAAAAAATGAGAAGGATTTAATTGGGAGAATCGGATTATTCTCATTATCCGGGGGCATTCCTTCAGTAGAATTATTGTCTATAAGTAAAAAGGACGATTGAAATGTTGGCTCTACCAATTAGTTCTTGGCTTGGAGTCCTTTGGGGTTGGGCGCCCTTTCGCGCTACCAGTAAATCATGGTAATCTATCGTCCCATTTAGGAATTGATATTCATTACCATGCATCTAAAGATTTCAAAGAGGAATTTCGTATTGTGTTTTAAGCACTAGGCTGATAAATCCCTTCTTTGCAACCTCCCATTGCACAAACAATAATTTTTGAAAATTCTTCATTTAAAACATACCAGTTTTGATTTAATAAACGTCAAAATGACCTGTTTTGAATTTTACGATATGTTGCATTTTCTAATTAAAGATTAAAATAAAAATGGAGACCACTTCTTGGGACTGCCGGTTGATAAATCTTTATTTTCTCATCAGGCAAACCCACCACTGATTATAGCGAGGAAACGAATTGCACTTAAATGACAAAACAGGGCAAAAAGCTTATTTAGAAGTATATCAACAGTACTTGTGAAGGCCCTGTTTAGTCCTTATGACATGCTATAATTATCGCCTTTGTATTTATTCGTTGTACTTTAATTTTTTTAAAGTTATGCCATAATCCATGGCCGAAAAATATCTGACTATTAAAGGGTAAGTCATCTAGGTCAATATTGTATATAAGGAACAGAACAACAATGTACCCTGATTGATCCTAAAGTCCTTTACTTATTTTATTGAACTAGATTTGCACCAATTATTATCGAGATTTTACATAAGAGTTACATCAATCATGTTCTCTTCCACGCACTTCCCTATCTCTATTTTTTAATAAGGCTTACTCTGCAAACCGAAGCAAAGCTGGGCTTATTTCTAAGAAATGTCCCAATACTTTTTATTTCTATTAATTGTATTCAATTCGTTATTTATTGATTATTAGTTTTTTTAATTTATAATAAATTACTGGCAGGCCTCGAGAAACATCAACTGACGTTGGCAGGCCAGGTTCGGGCCTCGGTCTTATTCGTCTAGTCCCCGAGGTTGGGCTCCAGGCACTATCATCAGTAACTATCATTTCAACCCTCTACGCCATCAGTTTCTACATTCAAACCCATTCACTCTTAAATACATTCTTTCTTATTTGCATACCATTCACTCAGTTATGGTGGATTAACCAACATTTCCATATGACTCTTTTCACCAATTATCTAACTAACCAAATTGAGGGTCGATGGGTACTTAATATTGCGCCATCGACCATCACATTCACACAGACAAATACATCCACTCGTAACGTTATTTGTGAATTTGTACAACGCATTGTCATCACCCGTATTGATGAAAAATCCATATTGTTTATCGAATATTCATTTTTTTTTTTCAGAAAATCTACTAATCGATTTTTCAGGAACTTCTCAAAAATTTTTGATATCTTATTTATCAGCGATATTTGACGATATTTTTATCGGTCAATTACTGCTTCTTGATAGAAAGGTATTACTTTGTAATTTGAATTTGTGGACCGAAATTTGCACCAGGCTGAATCGCCTTTTAATGAGATACATCTATAACTTCCTGTTAGGTGATATTATTTGAGAAAAATGTTGAGAAGTCGGTAAACACGTGAAATCATTAATTTACTATCAACTGGAATGCAATTAATATGAAGAAGTAGGAGAAGTTTTCGTTTTTCTGAAAAACGATGTTCGGAAATAATTTATTGCAAATAACTTAACGAAATTTAATTATAAGTATCTTTTGAAATTGTGACACTTCTGTACGAATCAATCAACCCTGGAAAATTAGATCAACACATTTTAGTGAAAAACAAGATAAAAATAAAAGTTTATGTCTCAGAGTTTTTGCTAAAACCGACCCAATAAAACAATGTAGGAGGGGGTCTGAAGTTAAATTCACGCTGAATACTAGATTGTTATTTCCATTATAGCAGTTCGAATCCCGGCATATCCCATGGATTTTTAATTGCGAATAATATGGAGAACGTATTGCAAAGTGGTGACAACGAGTAGTAGGACGGTAGCCCACTTTTAACACAGGAATTACAATACTCGATCGACCTTTCTTACTTAATCAACGTTTCTGTCAGGATGTTTTATTTATTACTACATGTTTTTGGCTTTACCTTGTATTTCTTGAATAAATTCATTAGATGTAAGTTTGAACATACAGTCTATTAAATTACCAGTACGTTTATTTTTTACTTTATTAAATGGTGAATGTTAAAAATTAAAACTCTGCCAGTAGCATTTGCTTTCTTCACACCACTGAATCGGCATTCGCCCCCCTACAGATTAATAGCTTGTTCAAGTCCGCCAACCTCCCATTTATCTCCTCTTCAGATGTGAACCTATTCCATTTTCCAACTGAGTATAGCCGGTATACGAGCGACTTCGGCCTCGGACACGACCCTATGGGAATCAGGCTGGTTAATAACTGGACGAAGAAAGTTAAACTACTCGTTTCTTCCTTGAAAACACTCATGGTTCTACGCAAGGGAACCTAGTCCTAGGAGCCCACCATCTATTAGACTTAAAGGACCAAAAATTAAAATTACAGTGAATGGGGGGAAAATAAAGATTCTTCAGCACTTGGAGTTAAGTTCAGCAACTTGAAATTTTTTTAATGTTATTGTTTTTAAATATTAAATGTTTATTTCACATTATTAATGTTAAATTTGAAAATTAAAGCCTCATGCCATTTGAATAGAATATAATTGGAAAAAATATTTGAACGCGTAAAACAAAAAATATTTTTAAAAATAGTACCAATTTGGGAAAAGTTATAGCTGTTTTTAATGGCATTGTACAAGATAAATTATTGTTGTATGTGGGATTTAATCAACTTTCAAAAAGAATATTTGCCAGATGATTTTCAAGTTAAAATTCATTCCAAATGAGGCGCATTAATAATAAAAATATAGCACGCTTGCAAAGAAAAGGTGGTTGCAGATAAATGTACGAAGTTATGTGCTGTCCAACTTTGTCACTTGGAGAGTAGCGTGATTTTGTAGTTTTTCGTTCATTAGTAAAAGCAAAGATCAATTCTATATCATCATTGTTTTATTTGGCTAAAAAAATATATTTATTATATAGATACGTGTTTTAAACTATTTTTTATTTTACATATTGTGCGAAAATCATATGTTTGCTTTTAAATATAAATGTTATACTCCATACGGTTTCTTTTTAATTTTTCAATAGAAATGTAGCCATTTTCATTAAATTTACAGTAATATAAAGGGTTTTGCCCTTTAACAACATAACATTATTCAATTATTATGGATGTTAGAGCAAGATCCCTTGCGGCGGACAAGAGGAATTGCAAGAATGATAAAAAGGTTGTAAAGGAGGACTTAAGTCCATGGGATAAAGATAAAGATACACTCACAATAAACTCTTCGGCGTGTAGTACCAATTGGAATTTACTTGCGAGTAGACTTGCTAAGTTGGAGGACCAGTTATCGAAGCTAGATGCAGAAGCGACCATCGGCGACCACTTGCGACCAAGACCAAGCGCAAGAGCTTCTCGAAGTGCTTCTTCTCAACGACAGAGTGATTCGAGCGATGAAGCGTCGAAACGACCTTCTCAAGCTTCATCTCCTTCTCACTCTTCGAGATCGCCTTCGCGGCCGTGTTCACCAGACCTCAAGTACTACCGATCAGTGGGATCCGTGAACAGGGCCTCACCGGAGGATGTGGTTAAAGATGTGAACCGAACAGTAGTGAAAGAAGATAAAACGGTGAAGAGCACAACAGGCGTCGCTGGCAGGTTGAGGGCATCGGGTAAACGCTCGACAGCCGTTCTCAAATATTTTGCCGATAAAGCAGATGATCGGAAGACGGAAAATCCTCGGCCGGCGAACAGCGGCGGGATGAACAAGCATGCCGTAAAATCCGCTGTCATAGAGAATTTCTCAAACGGGAAAACGCTTCAGTACAAAGCGAGTAGAGACAGTTTGACTAAAGAGAATATTAAAAAATTCGTCACTCCTGCGAGAGAAAAACATTACCAGCGTTTACTGACAAATAGAGACTCGATGTTCCCTAGGAGCGTTCCGAAAGTCTCAGCCAAATACGAAGAACGGAATTTTGATAAAGCGATTAAACCAAAAGACGAAGAAACGGCTAATCAGCATGACTCGGTTATACCCTTTTCGAAATTGAAAACCAAATCAGAAACCAAAAGAAAAGCTTTTAACACTTCACCTAAAAACCTCCTAACAGACCTCCAAAAAGCCGAGGAACCTCTTGCGGAGGCTGAAAGCAGACTGGAAGAAACACTGTCAAAAACGTCCAAAGATTCTGCACAAACCTCCAAGAAAGTCAAGAATAAAAGGGACGACGCTAAATCGGGCAAGTCTAAAGGTCTAAAGAAGAAAAGCAAATCGCATAAATCCGAAGTGGTTATTAAAAAAAACGAAGCTATAAAAGTAAAGCCAAAAGTGTTGATGAAGCCGAAGAAAACGACCTCGACAAAAACACCTGAAACAAGAGAAGAAATAAAGAAGTATCCTAAAAGTGCAAAAGCAAGCGCAAAAAACAGTCCAAAAACTCTTTCAAAACGGGGATCGTCTGTTTCTAAAGTTGGTTCTTCGCCGAGAATGTCGCCGAGCGCTTCTGTAGGAAACACTTTTCCGAAGGAGATAACTAAACGAGGTTGTGTAACACCTAAAACTGTCTACTGTGCTTTAACTTCTAAACCTAACTGTCTTCCAGCTCTTTTCAAGTCTAACTTCGGGTCACTAAGTCCGAGGATGAATTTCGGAACCCCGTCGCCCAGAAGTGGCAGCAACTGCAGCACTTACTTTCCAAACAACCAGGGAGAAGAAAGTCCCGTACGGGTGAGCGGTGTCCCATCGTCGAGGACGAGTTACAACAACGCTTTCCCGTTCGGATCGAGAGACCATTCGAACGAAGCGAGAAAAATGGAATCCGTCAAGCGCAGACCTCCTTCTGACACGGTCTTCGGTAAAAACGAGCGGAAAAAATCAGGACGGGTGTCTCTGGTAGACAAAAATTCCTTCACATCCGAAAACGCGTCAAATTTGCTGACTCCGAAGACGAGGCACTTGACCGACATGGAAGTGCAGATCCTGGTCAAAGACGTCGAGCAGATATCCGGCCAGATTCAGAAGTACATCAGGAAATGGGACGAGTTGTTGAAGACGAACACGACCGCTGACAGGGACGAAGACATCAGAAAGACCGTGTTGAGCGCCTGCGTTCTCCTCGACACTAAGTTGAAACGGGCGAAAGAATTGCTAATGAAATACAAGGCTCTTACTTCAGGAAACAACGGCCTGGGTAGCCCGACGGCGGAAATGCTCGAGGCTTTGTTGTACTACCAGTTGACGCAGCTCGATGTCGCTTCCGTTATTAAAACTTTCAGAAGATTAGATTCAATGCTGACGTCCGGAAAATAATTTTACTCCGTTTATCATCTGTCTCAATCTTTCGAATGTTTCATGTGTTGCCAAAAATAATTATTAGTTTACGCATTCGCTTTACCAAGATTTACAAATAAAATGTAAAACACATTAATAATTCGCATATCCTATTATTTTTGTGCTATCCGATTATTACTATTACTATCATTACTATTGTATTTTGAAAGTTTTTAATTGACGTTCCGCAGGTTTTTAAAGAATCAATTTACAGATAAGAGACGAATGAGGATAAATTAACCAACCATAGAAAATAAATAATGATAATGAATATTAAATAAAATGTTTGAAAGCAAAATCGATATTGATTTACAAAAGTTTTAAATATTAAGAACCTAAATATATATCGTTATACAACCACGAATAAAAAAATTACGGCCAATTTGTTAAAAAGAAAACAAGTCTCTGCGGCAACCTTTCAAGGAAGATAACACAGTCACGAAATCTTCGTTAACTATTATTAATAATTTAAAAGGTTAACAAATAAGCACATCGACTTACAATATTTAAAACATATGATTCCAAACCTAATGAATTTATGAGATGATTTCACTGTTAACGAGACTACATCTCACCCGTACATTCTACAAAGGAATTGTAACGGGTTGTATGTTACAGCGAAGAACACGCCGAACATCCTTTGTGAATGACGATGGACGAAAAGTCTGCTTTGTCACAAACCTCTCAGAAAAGCACTTATAAATCATAAGCAATTGTTACAAGAGTAAAGTTACTCCTTGAAGTACACAAAAAACATACGTGAATATAACGAAAAATATAATACAGGCACAACAGATTTAATAGAAGAAATCGTAGATACAGTTTACTTATAAAAGGACACGCTAATTTGCTTAAAATAGAAGTGATAGATTAATACTGTATTTCAGCAATAGCTATTACAGGGTAAAAATAGAAGTCTTTACAAAAGAATAAGAACAGAAGAAAAAAATTAGATTGATAAAGGTGGATAAAACAGTATAAAATTCATTTTCACCAACGATTAAATCAAGGTACTTTTAAATAGAAGATCTAGTCCTTTGCCTTAATATTATAATTATTTGGCATTTGAAAAAATTATTTAATATTAATTACGAACATGGACAAATTAAATTCGACCATCTGGAATAACCTTCCTGGAGATCTTATTTGTCCAATCTCGTAAGACGTGTTTGTGTAATAAAAATACTTCAGAAGAGGTTTTTTTCTAAGTTCTGGAATGTGATTCTGTCTGTAGCTTGGTTGGTAATTTTGGTATGCTTATATTCACGATAGTTTGTGCAGTGAGTAGTTTTGGTCTGTCAAAAAACTTAGGTAAACCAAAATAATAATAATGAATCTCACATCTATTTATATTGCACAAATGTTGTATGACAAATAATAGACAAATTAGAAATTTACGCAAACGTTGTACAAGACCATGGGTGGTTGACTCGCTGGCACATACTTTTGGTCAAAGCCCACAAGTGTCCGATATTGAGGGAAAATTCAATTGGACTCAATGTCCGTGGCTCAATAAATAGAGCGAAATAGAATATGCATGCTATCTGATATGACAATTATACTTGAGCATGCCAGCTAATATTTGAGTCCTAACATATTTCAAAATAAGCTAATAAGAGAGCTAGTATGTCTAGGTTAAAAACTGCATTCGTTGGGAGCTTAAATAACTGCTTTGTTATATATAGTATTAATAAAAATATCGTTTTGGTTATTTGGGAGTGAATGAATTTATTTGCGTGAATGTATAGTTTGAGATGGCTTATGGTGTAATATTGAAAGAGTGAGTGTTGTGTCTCCCAGTTTAAAAACTGCACGGGTTGGAGGCTGAAATGACCATAGAATGTGGACACCCTGGAGCTAAACTTCGATTGTTGGACGCATAGCACCGAGGTTTGACCCGGGTCTGCCAAAACAGCAAAATCATAAATGGGTGCGAGAAGGCATAAGCTTAATTCTGTATCATGTGTACGTTCTTGTTTGTGCAGAATGTATATAAATAAATCAACCTTTCGAGATTATTATATGCTGAATCTCTTTGAGCTGTTAGAATATATATAACGTTTCGAATATGTTAATTGATTTGTCTTAACAAAAAAATAAGTAAATAAGTAGAGTTGCATAATTATCTGTTTAAAAGCTCGTTAATGGAAATTGTTGGAGGAGATAGAATTTTATACTGCTTTGACTAAAGTTTTGATCGTTCATTTCTCAAAAGTGCTTCTTCCTCTCACATTCTTTTATGGACACTTCAATTTTAGGCAACTAACAAGTTGTAAGTAAACAAAAGCCTACTCATAACTTGCACAGTACTTAACAGACACTAGACAGTGTCGAGTTTGCTAATAGTTTCAAACTTGTGTCTTAAAACCAATCAACTTAACACGATTAACACCGGTTTACCCAAAAATCTGGGGTCGTTAAACAAAGTAATGGACCTCATTACACTAGGACTTGGCATGTATCGATTCAGAATCCAATACTGGTGTCTGGTATCTCCACTCAATACGTCTATAAACCGTTTGAAGGCCTTTTATCGTTGAGATTCGAACCCCCGCCAAAACTGGCACCCTTGAGACATTATAGTGATAGAAAAGAATCCGATAAACGTATTCGGAAAGCGGATTCAGACGGAAACGGACTGTCGTAACGCACCATGTGTACCCATTAGTGTATCTGTTTGGAGGATCGGAAACCGCAGCCGGCACGGTCTCGTTTATAGCCGAAGGTTTATTACCGAGTGATACCGCCAGATTTCTGCCTCTCGCTCAAATACGCGAGGAAAACAGGAAATTAAACCCAGTATTCTTCTACACGAATCCCAGGAGCCGTCAGATAAAACTCGAATTACAAGATCATTTGGTGGAGAATCGATTTTTTTTCTCTCTCTCGTTCGCTCATAACTGTGCCTCGTCTTATCATCTCCATTGTGCCCTGGAATTGAATCCACCGCCCTTTTAGCCCCTGACAAGGATGTAAATAATTTAATAAACAAAAATACAATAATCATTGCAATATTATAGACATTAATAATCAATTTAAATCCAAAAAACTATAAATGTTTTCATATAAGCATGGCTTATTTTATGATGATATGAATATAAAGTGATAACTTAAACGGAATCCTTTTAGCGATTTTTTAAAATCTCCGGCATAAAATTGTCTGCAATTTCTTTTTTTACTATTATAAATTCTAAGATATAGTTTTATCAATAAAAAAGCTATCTTATTCAATATTTTCTATTCAAACTTCCAAATAAAACAATAATTGCCATAAACCCGTAAAGAATTTAAAATCTGCTTTAGGAGAGAAAAAACAATGTTTAAGTCCTTTTAAATTTAAAATTAATTGTTTGTTAATTATTAGGCTCTTCTTACACGAAATAACCTAAACCTAAACCTACTAACCTAAACCTAACCTAAACTTACTAAAAATAAAATAAATGTAGAATAACTCGGAGGAGTGATAGTACTATTTACTGGTCACTGGCGTATGAGAAAACATCTATACAACATGGGCATAATCAACGATGATCACGTTTGAAGATTACAATGGGGAGGAAGAAATAGCCACCCATATCATCTTCGAATGCAAAGCAAGTGCCCAATTGAGACAGAAACAAACCCAGCAAGCAAGTTGTAGTAATTACAATCAGTGACCTAGTACTCCTAAAAAGAAGGACAAAGTGATACTAGGATCTAGGAATTTACAATTAGCCAGAAGGCTCAGTGATTGGGGAACAAAATTCCCACTTCCTATTCTCCCTTAAACTTTAACTCAACTTCAACTGTTGAACAACTCCTCAGCCAACCCCCTATATTACACACTCAAACACACTTGTATTTATTGGGTTGTCCGGAAAATAATGCAGGATTTTAAGTTTTCATTAAAAAAAATCTATATAAAATATTCTGTTTACGTTTACAGGATTACTCATTNTTTGATTAAAGAACATTGCTTTAAAGTAACTAGTTTCTTTTTTTTTGTTTAATACCAAAATCCTGCATTATTTTCCGGACAACCCAATATTTGTTTATTTTTCATAATGACTAGGTATAAAGATTAATACCACGACAAGATCCACCACCTCATAACGAAAACTTCGCTCCGCAGAAATCACCCAAACACTAAAGACTGCGAAATGCCGAACGCAACTGTACCGACAAAATAAAGGCAGACAAGGACAGAAATACAGCAAGGAAAGGCAGACCAAGATAACAGGTAACTATCAAACAATAGGTTTATTACTTCTCAGACCACAAGAGGAATTATCACCATAAACATTAATAGTTGACTTAAAAGGTAACCACTACATTAATAACTTGTAGTTTACCATTACAGCGTTACTAATCCTTTGGCACTCTTCAGATTAAAAATAAAGAAAATCAGTTCTATTTCAACCCTTCCAGAGCCAATTTGTCTAGTGAGTTCACTAATTTTATAAATTGTTTTCGTTGATGAATCAATACATTTGAGTACACATATTTTTTTTCTTAAAAGCATGGCTTTAGCTCGCCCGCGGGCTTGGCAAATCCAGACCTGGTTGTGCCGCGCTCTTACCATACACGATGAGCTACAGCGGTTTAGGGCCACCGGAGTCTCGACTGAACACAAAATAATGGTCGACCGCGATGTACGATGGCTAGAGACGATCGTTGTATTACTCTTAGCGCACTATGGAACTGTCATTTAACGGCTTCCTTGATAGGTAGTCAACTGCAAATGGTCCAAATGCAATGTAAGGGTGAACTTTAAAATAGTCATCAGAAGGCTTCGTGAGAATAACCTAGACCCTAGACGTGCCGCATCAGTCCTTTACTATTGGAGAGACATCGAGTGAAAGGGGACAATTAGCAAAACAGGATCTCGAATAGACAAATGAACACTGGGATCTGTTCTCTTCATAGATGATTGCCGGTTTGGTTGGTGACAAGATGACCGGGGTTGTATGAAGAAGACGTGCAAAACGATTTGCTTCATATCCCACGAATGAGTCACAGCCTTTTCAAAGACAGGAGACTACTCCCAAATCAGGATCTAGCTTGTACAGCTGGACAATTGGGTGCTCTCCTCTTTACAGATGTGTGCCAGCTTGATTT